TTCTTCTGGGTCAGTGTATTTCCTGAACAAGTGGTATGTAAATTGGATCAAGCGGCTTTCATGTTATGACTTCTGTACCATCCTATTGAATGTAGACGCATTTTCTCATTTCACATGGCTTTGACTTCAAGCTTTAGCCAAACTGTCTCTGCCTGCTTCTTGGATTTATTTCCTAGGTATTAGCTTCTGTTCTTTTCATACCTTGCCCATGACAAGGAGATCCTCTTGGGTTCCCAGTTCAGGGCCTTTGCCTTTGCTGCTCTCTCTGAAGCCTTCAGCATCTGTCTTGTGGCTTGGACATCTCATTATGTAGGTCACATATCAAATATTACTTCTTCAAGCAGGCCTTCTCTGACTATTTTATATTCCCTTGCTACTTCATTAAAATACTCTGTTTATGTATAGTTTAAATTTTCAGTATTTAGTGCATGAACATCATGTAATTTTCTCTTGCCATAAGCCTATGAGCTCCTCAAGGGCAAAGGCCTAATCTGTTGCTTAGCTCTGCACATCCAGCCCTCAGAGTAATACAGCTGAGCAGTAGATGCTGTATGACCTCTCCACAGTGTGAGACTGTGGAAGGAATACACATCCAACACTGTGTAGATCAGATTTATTTTCTATTTGATTTGCCATAGGTGTTACATATTACAAAGTCAACCCACTATATTATTGAGAACAAGTGTCATAGCAACATCACACAAGGACTGTAGGAAATATAATTGTGAACAAGTTAGAGTACTTGTTCTCAAGGGATTTATGACCTGGAATATTCTGAATCATGATAACATGGCTTAGCGGCAACCGAAAATTAGCACATCAAGATAAGCCCTAGATGACATCAGTCACCAGTGCTTACATTTAAAAGGAGTGGCAGTATCTAAAGCAATCTTTTAAAAAATGATTTTGTGACATGTACATAGCTCTGTGTTTCCCCCCAGACAATGGAGTTAGAATATAAATATGCAGCTGGCTTTTAGAAGAAAGTCTTCAGTCACTCTGGGCCATGTTTTATCAGATGATGATAATAGGATCTGGTCTGTGGAATTCAGTACATGTTGTTCACAGTACAAGGTGGTTGTTTTGTTTTGTTTTTTGTACCAGGGATCAAACTCAGAGTCTTCCACTTGCCAGGAAGGCACTTATGCCACTGAGCTATCTCCCTGGCCCTGTTACAGTACATGTTGAAAATTATTGAATCCATAAAGAACAGGACTTTTCTAAGGTTTATTATTTTATGAGAAAACTGTTCATAATTTGTCTTTTTCTTTTAAAGTATAAGGTATGATTGATAAATATGTTAGATATCCCTAATGATCATATTCGTCATTGGGAATTTGTACCTGTACATGGATATATTTTTTTCCCAATCCACTCTCCTCATTTCAACCTTTCTTCCCTTCTATTTACAAGGTTTTGTTTCTATATTGTCCCTTTTTATCTTTCATTTCCCCCCTTCCACCACCCTGTTTCTTTTTTCACTTTGAACAGTTTCTTTTCACTTCACAATATCTATTGTACACCTTGGTCCTTACTCTTCCAGTTCCTCACACCAGGGAGACAATGTGATGTTTACATGTGTGAGTCCAATTTATTTCACTTAAAAGTGTGGTCTCAAGTTCTCAAGCTACATCCATTGACCTAGAAATGCCTCAGATTTATCCTTCTCAGATGAAAACATGCAAATGGCAAGTACATATATGCAAAATGAATGTTTAAATTTTAAAGATTATTACACTAAAAGACAAATTGCCAGATACCTCCTAAACATATCCTCATCCTTAGCTTTGGACAAACCTACCCCCTTGTTCTTGCCCCTCTCTGAAGCAGCTCTGGAAGTCCTCTTTCGTGGGTGTCTTTAGTTACTCTGTCTTGGCTGTCTCATTGCCCTGAGTCACTTCAAACCATTTCCCTTCTGTGGTCATCCGACTTTGGGCTGAGCCCTATGTTGTAGTTCACCACAGCCGGTGATAAGGTGGATAAGGACACACATCGTGCTCCTCCAGACCTCCCTTTCCTTTGGGTGGTGCCATATTTTGATCTCACCTCAGACTAACAATCACAGAAAACAAATACTGTTCAGAACTGCGCCTATGTCTCTCGGTATCCATGATTTTAGTCTTGCGTATGAACTGTTGTCTTCCTGGTTCCTCTGGTTCCTGTCCTGCTTCATGAAGATAGTCAAGCTGCTCCTCTGTACTCTACTCTTCCCAAAGCCTGAGCTCTCCTTTCCCTCCAGTAACTTTTCCCTTTTCCTCTTCCTCTTGTCAAAATCCTAATGAAATCCCACTTCTTAAACTGGTGATTCCCAACCTTGTTTCACAGTAAATCCCAGGTAG